TATTTTGTGTGATAATGACCCTTGGTATCTGATTGATATTATATTAAAATATATAATACACAATATTATTTCTTGAACAGGTCCCTCCATGATTCCTGGAGTGTATGAGATAAAATGTACCACAATAATTGTGTCATTATTCCAAGTTGATTTAGACCAATGTGATATTTTTTAAGAGTGTGGATATAATACAAACTACATCAATTAGTTAAATTCTGGATAGGGTAAATCTTATAAAGTTTTGGTCACATGAGATCTAGAATTTCTTTTTGAAGTATTTTATATACATTGTTTAGAGTATGAATGACCTATTTATACCATAAACTTTAATATTTCCTATTATAAGTAAGTGAATAAATTTTATTAAGTTAATCATTCAGTTTGATTAATAAGTTACCTGTATATTGACATTATATATTTGAAGGGAGTGTGATATCATTAATATATGTTCTTTTTGAAGTGAACAGTTTGATTTGAGTAAAGCTTATATTGAAAGGTCAGTCAGTACAGTGTTCTATTTACTTAGTCTCTACAGCTGTAAATATTAATTTGGAGCCGCGGTGGCTCAGTGAGTTAGACGCTTGCTGAAAAAAATCCCTGAAGGTCCAGGGTTCAATCCCAGCATAGGTAGAGAATATTTCAACCCGGTTTCCCCCTGTCAGTGATGCAGGTAAGAGGGGTTGACATGGAAGAAGCATTTAGTCGTTCGGATGGGACAATAAACTGCGGACCTGGTGCTACAGGCTGTACACATTAACGATCCCTCGACAGTTAGAAATCGAAAAAGAGCAGGCTAATGTAGCTGTCCTGGCAAAATTTCCCTCATTGTACCCTGCATGGCATTGTCCGTCTTCATTAGTCCATATGGTGCAGAGAGTAGGACGTAAAACTCCATTCATTTCATTTTGTAAATATTAATTTGAGAGGAAATGATTTTGTATGTAGGTCTACTACCATCTGTAAATCTGTAAATACTAAGCCATAATTTTGACAGTCTTTCTGCAGAGGAATCTGATTGGCTGTACACATATTTGCTGGCATAAAATCCAATAAAATTGCTGATACAAGAATAGTGGCTATTGCAGTCAAGGTATTGGCATTGACAAGATAGCTGACTATGTGTTATGTTTTTGAATGTCTTTTAAGAGAAAGTGATTTCATAGCCTTTGTATGTGTATCAGTGAGAATTATAGCTTGTTCTAATTTTTTTTTTGACAAGGTTATAGTTTTCCAGAAAAAATTGACATCAATTTAAAGTCTAAAATCATTTGTCTTAAATGGTATTTACATTAGTGATGTCATAATATTGTAAATTTTTTTAATTCTTTAGCAATTCTCATGACTGTAAATTTGGTTTCATTGTTCTGTTGTTCTAGTAAAGAATGTTTTCAAAATGTATTATTCATGAGTTTATGTCTTTTGAAATTTTTAAAGGGAGAAGTCCTCTTAGAGATTATTTTAAAGTTGGATTGAACTAAAGTTTAGTTTTGACTTTTTTTTGTAGAATGACAGTATGATTTTTGATGTAAAATAGTTGAAATATAACCTACTAAAAGATTAAAGAAATGACATAGAATATCAAGTGTAATAGGTTAAATTTTGGGTCTTATTGTCAGAAGAATTATGAATTAAAGGGATTGTAAAGAGATTTTTTAAACTTTGAATTTGTATCAGGAATGCTAATATCATTTATTTGCATAATTTTGATTTTCAGTCAGGTATCCAATTTCATTAATTCAAACTATTCTATATCATAGAAAAACCCCTAAAAATCTTTTTGTATGAACATTTCAATAATATTAACTGATTGGTTGAAATAATAGTATTGACCAACCGGAGTTGAAAGGGACAGGTAGGCCATTTTTGACTAATCATACCTTTGTCTCAGAAACTGGAATTTTTTACCAGAGCTAATCAGTAATAGTGTTCACAGCTTACTGTCGAAATTTGAGCCTTCAATTCCATGTGTGTCTAGAATTATCTGCGTTTGAATGTTAAAATGACAACTCGTCAACTTAAGATATTCTGTGATATATAGAAAAGACAAGTATAGAAATATTGAGTAAAATTCCTAGTTTGAAGTATTTTTAAAAGAATTATGTGATTTTGGTACATTTCTAGTACTTCCAAGGCTATTTACATATATTCAAGACAAAAATCAACCCTTCAAAGTGGCACACCTGTCCCCTTAAGACACTTACATTGTAAGCTACAACCTTTTTTAGTGACAGACTGGGAATCTTACTTATTTTACTTACGTTTTACTTACAAGACTAAAAATAAAAGCAAGATAAAATCAAATTTATTGAATGTCAGAAAAGTGATACAGGTCAAATTTATTATGAGCAGTAAGTAAAAAGAATATTAATATGAGGACCTTTTCCTTTAAAAACAGACCAGATGTTAGTAATAAGAATTATCTGATCTAGGCCTGCATGTGTGAGGAAATGTGACTAGACTAATGGTTTTTCCATCATTATTACATGGTGATATATTACTGTCTTGATCTGTTTAGGTCTTTTAAATATTATATTATGTTGATACTGGCATTGTGAGAGGTTGACTTCTCAGTCTATGAAATTCAGTGTGTGTGGAGTTTCTTTATAATTCTTATAGGATTTTAGTCTTTGAAATATTATATATGAGCTTTGACTTCTCAGTCTATGAAATTTAGTGTGTGTAGAGTTTCTTTATAATTCTTTTTGATTTTAGTATATAAGTCTTTTAAAATATTACATGAAATTCAGTGTGTGGAGTTTCTTTATAGTTCTTTTTACAATATTTGCTGGACTAAGAATGGATTGTTTTGGTCCATGTATTATATTAAGAAGGTATTAGATCAGTGTGAGGTTCAACTTAGTCTATATGATTTATAGTGCTGTGTTTAGTTACACTCCAAATTATTGCTTATGCAATGTATTAAAGGGATTGTAAAGAGGTTTTTCTAGTTTTTTATGTGTATTGGGAACACTGATAGCATCAATTTGCTAAAACTGGAAATTTGAAAAACCTCTTTACAATATCTTAAAGAAAAGAAATGTGTATAAATAACACAAGATATATGGATATACTACTTCTGAGTTTATTACATACAAAATGTGTATATTTTAATGCTCTTCAAGATTTCAGCTACCTATGAAATATATTTGGAAAAAGTTTTATTCTGACAATTGTGTCTAATAGCAGAATCCAACTTTATTTAAACTTTGACTCTTATTGCCAATTGTGACAATTTGAACCATTTCTGGATAAAATTCTAAGGAGGATTATTTATAAGTTGTGTATTTGTGAAAGTATTTAAGTCTCTGAATATAATCAATAATAACAATTTCAGACACTGTGATCATGCTTTTGTGTTTTTGTGACATTACTTTCGTTTTGGTTTTACCAAATACAAAAGTTGGAATTTAAGATTTGCTAAGCATTAAGTAGGACATATATAAATCAAACATGAATTTGCCAAAAAAATTGTGATTACCTCTTAGACATTGCTTTATGTAATAGAATAAAAATATATAAGGCTATGATAAAGACAAAATGGCGTCTAGATTACCAAAAGTGAATGTGAAAAAGAAGAGTGTAGTAAAACAGAGACCTAGATCAGTGACACAACAATCTAGTGGTACCAGTATTAATGATATTATACCAGATCTGTGTCCAGTACATGGTTTAAGAAATATCTATGATGAAGGTGTTATTAATGAACATGATTTATCTCCAGTTTTTGAAAAACAATCTGATGTTAGTATGATAATCATTGGGGAATGTGTTTTGAGGGTGATTCTTGGCTGTCTCTAGTAGAGCTGCAACGATTCACTGATGAATCGAACCGTGATTCTTTCCTTCTTATCGATGCATTCTGTTGGATAAAAATAATCGTGATGTATCACGGTATGATTAATTCTTAGCCCACTTTTATAACTAATGACACAGAATCCTTGTGTGTATAAGAAATTGAGTCATGTTTTTATTTTTCAAGTATGATTCTCACCTCAAAATTTGCAAAAATTTATTTCTGACTTTTAAAATTGAGATTTCTATTTCACAATTCCTTACTTCTAAATGTTCTCAAGTGCTTAATAATCGTACCGTTGGATGCGTATCATATAGTGTATCGAATTGCAACTTCAAGAATCGTTGCAGCCCTAGTCTCCAGGTCTTTTGATTAATGTTTTGTTCTGTCTGGCATTTTCCAAGGAGAAGTGTTTGTCTTAAAAGCCATGGAAGCCAAAAAAATGTATCAAACCAGCACCATGTACAGTAATCACTTGGCAAAGGACAATTCAACTCGCCCTATCACTGCCTGGTCTTGTCCTTATGAATGCCAAATATATGATACATTGAAAATGTCTACCGGTATGTTGGCAGGAAATAGTTTTGATGGATCTCATCCCTTCTTTAGCAAATGGTTAATGAAATTTGGTCTATATATTATGAATTCTTGTATTAATTGAATATATTGTAATGGTGATGAATGCAAAACTGATTTTCCTCATGTCAGTGATGAAGATTGGAGCACTGTCACTGACATGGATAAAGTGTCAAATAAGTTAAACACATATTGATGATATCTTGACACATGAAAATCAAAATAGAGTGTGTTAAAGGGACAGTTGCACCATTTTGGGGGTTGATTTGAGTGTTGACTATATGTAAATAGTCTTCAGAAGTATTAAAAATGTACGAAAATAGCATAATTTTACTTTAAAAATACCTCAAACTAGGAATTTTACTCACTATTTCACTATTTCTTCTCTATATATCACAGAGTATCTTAAATTGTAGAGTCATCATTTTAACATTCTAATACGGATAATTCTGAACACACATGGATTCGAAGGCTCAAATTTCGACGGTGAGCTGTGAACACTATAACTGATTCCCATTTCTGAGACTATGGTACGATTGGTCAAAAAAATGGCACACCTTTCCCTTTAACCAGTTCTGCAAAAAAAAAATCCAGAATAGAAGAACATAAGACTGAATTTATTATTTCTATATTTGTGATATATTTTCAGGGACCTAAAGACAAACAAAGATTTATAGCTATAACTACATTAGAAGATGCACAGGCAATACGTACAGTGGCATTTCATCCTTCTGGACAATATTACTCTATTGGTTCCAACTCAAAGATGTTACGTATTTGTGCTTTCCCTGACATATCTGATCTTAGGTAGGAACATGTTTTACTTATTTGAGCAAAACCTTTGAAATCAGAACCTGGCCATGTATTCTTGAAATGATCTTAGCGCTAGGATGTCCTAGAATCAATGTTAGAAGATAAGAACCTAGGACATCCTAACATAGGACATTGTTTCAAGAATACATGGTCTGGTGTTTGATGTTAAACACACTACAGAATCTTCAGATGACTGAACCATTTCAGCCTGCTCTGTTACTCTGTATCAGCTCGTCACAGGTTTTAACACTGGGACACATGAATGTTTAAATGAATTGTTAAGATGTTTTCTAGCTTCTCGTTTTGCATTATGTAGGCATTTAACTTTTGTTTGCACCATTCTTGTTCCCATAATTCAATTTTTTTTTTGCTTGACAACAAACATGGACTCAGACCACAAAAATTTTCTTTAGAATTCATTAGATACATGCTTTTGATCTCTGACATATCAGATCATCCAAAGAGCTTGTTGTCATATACCAAACCTAGATAAATCACAAATTATAAAGCTCTATGTACTGTCAGCATATTTCTAGAATTCTCAAACACTTATAAATTGATTGATTGGTTGATTTCATTCTTTTGTCATACAATTCGAAAATTAATATCTCTTGTCTCATTTAATTTCAGAGAAGATCAACCAACAGTGGAAGCTACTGTATTACATAAACAACCTAAACATCATAAAGGTTCTATCTACTGTAGTGCATGGAATCCCACTGGTGATCTGATAGCTACTGGCTCTAATGATAAAGTTATTAAACTCTCTCAATTTAACCAAGATTTAGTCAGAATTGAAGGTAACTTTTTTTCCTGGCCAGTGCTGTTTTTTTTATTATCAAATAAACCAATGAAATTTGATCTGAGGGAGGAAAAGATTTCTATATGACTTTCAAAGCATCTTAAAATTGTAAATTTTCCCTTGTTCCCCCGTAATGGAAGCCTGTGACCCCTTGACCCTCAGCTGATATTTTCTATTTTCTCAAATTTTTTTATTCCTTATTGGGATCCCTGATAAAAGGATTCTGTTGTATTATTATATTCTAGGTAAAGAGATGGAGTTGTCATTCCATGATGGTACTATAAGAGATTTAATATTTATTATAAAGAGATTTAGTTTGTGTTTTTATTATATTCTAGGTAAAGAGATGGAGTTGTCATTCCATGATGGTACTATAAGAGATTTAGTATTTATTATAAAGAGATTTAGTTTGTGTTTTTATTATTTTCTAGGTAAAGAGATGGAGTTGTCATTCCATGATGGTACTATAAGAGATTTAGTATTTATTATAAAGAGATTTAGTTTGTGTTTTTATTATTTTCTAGGTAAAGAGATGGAGTTGTCATTCCATGATGGTACTATAAGAGATTTAGTATTTATTATAAAGAGATTTAGTTTGTGTTTTTATTATTTTCTAGGTAAAGAGATGGAGTTGTCATTCCATGATGGTACTATAAGAGATTTAGTATTTATGCAGGATGCTACTAATAAAACATCAATATTAATTAGTGGTGGTGCTGGAGATTGTAAGAACTATGTCACAGACTGTGTTACTGGAACTCCCATCAGAGCTATGGCTGGTCATTCTGGTGAGTTAACCAAATTTACTCATTATGTGTTTTGCAACTTTCAAAACTGGCATAGATCGTGATGATACCTTCAGATTTTTCAACTGGTTTCCTTATAGTGATGCAGGTAGTTGGGGCTTACATGGAGAAAGTGTCTAGTCATTCTGATGAGGTAATAAACTGAGGTCCTTTGAGACCCAGGCTGTGCACGTAGAAGATATACCACAGTTGGATATAAAAAATATGGCTTAATGTTGCTGTCCTGGCAAAATTTCCCTCATGACACACTGCATGGCATTTCAGGTCTGCGTTGGCACAACTAGGTGTTTTTAGTTTGGAGACATTTCAAATTTTTCCTGAAAATATATTGTATCTTGCTGGTTTTCTTGATTTAAAATTCTGAAATTCTCTCTGACTGATACAATGTACAAGCAATAAAAGAATTGATGAAAATCTGATTTAAAAATTAGTTGCCAAAATGGCGCCTTTGGTTCATTCTTGTTTTAACATTTCAGGTCATATTTATTCGTTACATACGTGGGGTGGTTGTATGTTTGTCAGTGGTTCTCAAGATAAAACAGCTAGATTCTGGGATTTACGAGCTTCAACAGCTATTACAGTAGTACCTAGTCCATCAGGTAAATCATTTATAAGATATAAATACAAATTCTTTGGTCAAAATCTTTGTGCTTGATCTTTTTGGACCCAAAATATTTCACATTGTACCAAACATAGAGTTTAAGGTTGATTTTCGAGATATATGCAGTTTAAATACCTGATCACCTTAAGGTCCAAAATTGATGCGAAAGAAAATGATAATCTTCTTCGTCCATTTCAGGCAGTGCTTTTGCATCAGTATGTGTTGATCCATCAGGTAGATTATTAGCCTCTGGTCATGAAGATGGTGTTGTTATGTTATATGATATTCGAGGTGGCCGAGTTATACAGAATTTCAAACCCCATACCAATGAATGTCGGTCAGCCCGATTTTCTATGAATGCTTTTTACTTACTTTCTGGTTCTTATGACCAAAAACTTGTACTCACAGACTTACATGGTAAGTACTACAATTGATAAGTTCCAGTTTAAAAGCTAAATTGAAATTGAGCTGCATCTAATACGAACTCTGATAGTGTGTCTTGCAAGGCAGAACATGCTCAATATCTTAGGACACCTTATACACTTTCCTAGTGAGGGTAACTGAGTATCCCATACAGATTTTTGATAAGCTCAATTTGCTTCAGCTATCACCTTACTTCTGATTTCACACTTAAGGTGATAAGCCCATACTTTTATTTTAAAGCTGTATGAACGTGGAGTTTGAGATGGAATGACAGACTAGTTTGATTTTCTGAGTGATAAGAAATATCTGTAAATTTTCACTGTTAAGTTTAATAACTCTGATCATTATTTCAGGTGATTTATTACGACCACTACCTAGTGTTGTTATTGGTGAACATAAAGATAAAGTTATACAGTGTCGCTGGCATCCTTCACAGTTAGCATTTATAACATGTAGTGCTGACAAAACTGTTAATTGTTGGGCACTACCAGTACAATAAATATTTATAACATGTAGTGCTGACAAAACTGTTAATTGTTGGGCACTACCAGTACAATAAATATTTATAACATGTAATGCTGACAAAACTGTTAATTGTTGGGCACTACCAGTACAATAAATATTTATAACATGTAGTGCTGACAAAACTGTTAATTGTTGGGCACTACCAGTACAATAAATATTTATAACATGTAGTGCTGACAAAACTGTTAATTGTTGGGCACTACCAGTACAATAAATATTTATAACATGTAGTGCTGACAAAACTGTCAATTGTTGGGCACTACCAGTACAATAAATATTTATAACATGTAGTGCTGACAAAACTGTTAATTGTTGGCACTACCAGTACAATAAATATTTATAACATATAGTGCTGACAAAACTGTTAATTGTTGGGCACTACCAGTACAATAAATATTTATAACATGTAGTGCTGACAAAACTGTTAATTGTTGGGCACTACCAGTACAATAAATATTTATAACATGTAGTGCTGACAAAACTGTTAATTGTTGGCACTACCAGTACAATAAATATTTATAACATGTAGTGCTGACAAAACTGTTAATTGTTGGGCACTACCAGTACAATAAATATTTATAACATGTAGTGCTGACAAAACTGTTAATTGTTGGGCACTACCAGTACAATAAATATTTATAACATGTAGTGCTGACAAAACTGTTAATTGTTGGGCACTACCAGTACAATAAATATTTATAACATGTAGTGCTGACAAAACTGTGCTTTTAATACAGATTTCAGTAAATTCTAAATGGAAATCACATATTCAATATCAATTCAACAAAAAAATACAATAAGCTAAATCTGATGTAAGAAACATTATAATTTGTAAAATGTAAAAATTGTTCATTACATAACTTTGTGCCATGGTTTGTTTAATATGTATTTTATAGGTGTACTTTACTAACTATGATTCTGATTTTACACAACACAACATGAAATAAATTTATGATGCCTCATCCAGTGTTATTGTGATTCAGTCTTATTTATTACATACAGTTTCAGAATAACAGGATTACCGTTAGCACAATTATTTTTTGACATTTTTGACTGAACTGTACACATAGAGACTTATATAAAAGGTACATTTATAAACTTAAACTGTACACTACAATTGTACACTTAAAATAAAATTAAACTGTATACTTTAACTGAAATTAAACTGTACACTTAAACTGAAATTAAACTGTACACTTAAAATAAAATTAAACTGTATACTTTAACTGAAATTAAACTATACACTTTAATTGTAATTAAACTGTACACTTTAACTGAAATAAAACTGTACACTTTAACTGAAATTAAAACTGTACACTTTAACTGAAATTAAAACTGTACACTTTAACTGAAATAAAACTGTACACTTTAACTGAAATTAAAACTGTACACTTTAACTGAAATTAAAACTGTACACTTCAACTCTAATTAAAACTGTACACTTCAACTGAAATCAGACTGTACACTTTAACTGAAATTGAAACTGTACACTTCAACTGAAATCAGACTGCTAAAAGGGTTGTAATGATTACTAATATTAAGTATATTATGTTTGTTTTGTTCAAGGCAATATTTAACAGTATTTATGATGTTGTGGCTTGACGTTTGTTTACTGGCCTAGGATCATCTAAGCATATTTCACTTGAAAAATAGATTTGCTTTTTAATATATTTTTATTTATTTATTTTGCACATATCATGACATTTTGTTTCTTTTCAACTCTCTGTATCTCTTTTCAGTATATTAATCTCATATATCAGATTTGTCTGCAACAAGAACATTACTCTGTTGAGAATAAGAGCATTCTAAGCTTTATGCTACATTCAAGCTGAAATTAAGCTCTAGTAGCTGACAAATGTATGTAGATGACTATATTAGTCTTAACACCTAGTTGAATTCTATATATCATGTCTTAATTGTCCTGATGATTGACATTATATCAGAAACACATGTAAACAGTAAGATCGGATCTTGTCATTTAGTTAGTCATTAGTCCTAAACCTGAAATTTATTGCATAATTTATATTTATACTTATATTTATAAAAGTGAATTTAGTGCTTTTAATCCATCACAATAGGGCTGTTTCTACAATTTATGTGTATGTAAAAAGACTGAAAATGAATTCAAGATTTCAACGAAATTCCTTCAAAGCTAACCTGTACAGCCCCTGAGGTTCATGTTTAAAAGGATACTACCTCTAAGATTTGACATAAAATTTAAAGGTGCCATGACTAAAGAATAGAATCTCTAGATAAGACAATATAACTATTAAAATAGTTAAGTCCACTGATGAACAAAGACTCATTTTAACCAAGTTTAAAAATTTAATTTTTGGTCATCCTAAGAGGTAGTATACCTTTAAGTGAACATGTCATGCAATAAATATAAATGTCATGAAAACCATAATAGAATTTCATGTACTAAACCATAGTCTTTACATGTATATTGTTCATTATGTATTTTGCTTTTCAATTCATATAATTTATTTTGGTATGATCTCAATATCTGTATATCATTTTTCATTACTGTGTCTTTGAAGCATTATGATTGAAGTTTTACTACTGTTTTCTTATCTTTGCCAGTAAATTTTGCTGATGATTTTTATATGAAATATAATAATCACTTCAAAAAAGTACTGATAATCTTAAAATAACTGACAAATTGGATTAGATATATATATTTTTGTGAATTTGCATTTAATTTAAGGTTCCTTATACAAATTTCAAACGACAATGTCTCAAATTATGACAGAAAATTACCTTTTGTAAAAACGAACTTCAGTCATATATATGGCCTTTTTAGAAATGTAAAGCCTATTTAAGATAATCATTACCTTTTTGAAGCTATGTTCGAATCTAAAAGCGATCAATGAAAAATACACCAGCAAAAATAAGAAAACAGTTCAATTTTTAATAAGTATATCTAGCTTATAAATGTTATTCCTTAGGTTATTGACCAGAACATTTTGTTGTCTCTATTCATTAGGTCTAATTACGTTAAATTAATAACAAATTTTTGCAGATGTTTCTTCTATTATGCATTATTATTTGCAGATAATTTGCATTGATACTTTTTGTTTGGAAAAATTACACTGTAGGAGCTTTTTCTATTCTCTTCTAGGCAATTAGGCATTCAGTTGGAATTCATGAATTAGCCCTTTGTCTTATTATTCCACTTACAATGGAAAACTTGTCCTTGCTCAGCTTTTTTCTATGTTTCTTGCTGATTTTTAAGATTTTTATAGACTATTTATTTTGTCTCTTTTTTTTTTTTGCTTTATTCCATTTTAGCTGTGATTATATAAAATATAGAGATTGGTTGTAGAATTATTTATTTTGTGATATTTAGTTGATGTAGCTAAGTTGTGTTAGAGCATGTTTTGGGCAACATTGATCTGACAAAGGTAATACGAGTTTTCACACATAAAACCCTTGCATCACCAAGCAGATATTATTTTCACTAATGACTTAAGATCATCCTTAATTAATATTCAATTTGTATTACTAGTGTAGAATGGAAACAATTCAGATTTTTTTTTTTTACAGTTTTTTCAAAAGCTCAATAGTAGAGTCCTCAAATATAGTGAACATCACCTTGTTGTCTTGGTTGATGATTGACTAAAGTCTTGTCAAGAATTTCACAAACTGGCAGACATACTGTGGGACAAAAAGTTTTAACCACGTCGATGATTATGTGCGAAACATGCAAATGAAAGGAAATGAATCTGATTGGATGATGACGGTCTGTTTTATTAATAAGTTACATTTGTTCCATCAAACACATGTTGAAAAGAAATATTAATAAAGAACCCCAGTTGTCCTCAGTAATATTGCTAATAATTTTCTATTATTTTTTTTTTTCAATTTATCATTTTTTGGAATCATTTATATTATGTATGTAGTTTTTGGGTTATTTAGTTATTGTTTAGTATTTATTGTATGAGTTAGTGATCTAATTATGAATGGTTTCCTGTTTATTCTATTTCTATTTAAAATTTAGCTTATGATTTGTAATTACTAGCACTTGAAATATGCTGACGTAAACCTTAAGTTTTAAAACTATCATTCGTTAAAGCAAACAGTATTACATCAGTTGTCTACCTTTTTCAGAATGTTTTTTTAGACTAGCTATTTGGCGTCTGGTGCATAAGAAGTAATAAGCACCATCTGTCGTTTATGCTGTGGTTAATAAGGGAATCTATCTTTAAGTTGGAGTAGGCCTTTGAGATAAGCTACACGTCTTGACTTGACTTGAATTAAAAATGATACTTTGATATTATGTAGATAATGTATGGGAACCCAACTTTAATATTACTTACTAAGATAAAATTCATTTTGTTTTGTTAGTGGAGAATAGTTTTAAACTAGATGTTTTCATTACTTGTAATTCCTAACTTCACTTTGTTAATGCACCTTTTTGTCTCTCTGTCCTATAAGGAAATTAGAATCTATGTAACCAGTCTCACATAGAATATATGATATTTCTCTGTCTATAATGAAATGTGTGTATAATCAAGTCTCTGTTATTTCATCTAGTCAATTTCTCAATAAAGCTGTCTTAATTTGTCTTTAATTATTTTTTTTAACACTTGTGTATCCATTGTAGTACCAAAAGAGATTTTTTAGCCTTCACATAGTTGCTGCATTTTAGATTCAGCCTTGACAGTTGTCCCCCCATTGAGTCAGTCTTTCACTTTTGTATCCCAATCATGGGAGGCTGGTATTGCCACTGCTGTCTGGGAAAGGACGCTGTGTTCACTTCAAGGACATCAGATGTTCTAAAAGAGTGAACAATTAAAAAAGATACAGAAATAAAACATGCATAATAAACTTCATATAACGGTACTTGAAAATAAAAGAATGATAGGGTTTTGTTACCATTTTTCAAATTTGACGTACATTCTTGGTAAAATTAATCAATAATTTTCTGTAGTCTTAATCATTGCTTGTCTTCCCTCATTATTTCCTTTCGAT